CTGTGATTCCAGCACTTGAGAGACTGAGGCAGGTAGATTTTGAATTGGAGGCTAGCCTGAACTGCATAGCAAGATCTTGTCTCAAAAAACAAAACAAAAATAACTTCATAAACTGAGTACTTCATATTATAAAGTTTGTGTCTGAACTATTGTAATGATGCTTCATTAAACATCTTTGTTTATATGTTCATGTATATCTGTGTTTCTGATAATTTCTTTTGAGTAGATTGAAAAGTATTGTTGATAGATTGGAGAATTATGAATATTTAAGATTGTTAATAGATACATTGCTAAATTGCTTACCAGAAAAGCAAGCAGTTTACATTCAGACAGTACATGGGAATAGTCATGTACCATTGCTAATTCTCATTTTTATAAGGTTGAAATGGAGAGAGCATTGCTACCCTTTAGATTACCTGTTTAGGAAAGAACTAAAGTTTTTCAAAGAATGTGGATTTATAGTGCTGCTTAATAGTATTAACATTATATTAGCTATGACCTTTCCCTTTTTCAACATGAGGTAACAGGTTAATAAGAAAAGAAAGTATTATGTACTTTGATCATCTATTTTGCCAGAAAAATGACTAGGTATTAAGAGAGTCTATTTCTAAGTTTCTGCTCTTTTTTTTATTACCCAGCCTAAAGAAAATACGTGGCAAAGTCTGGAAGCAGAGAATATCTAGCCCTCTGTTCAACACCAAACAATATACAATGGAACTAGAGCGGCTCTATCTGCAGATGTGGGAGCATTATGCAGCTGGCAACAAACCTGACCACATGATTAAAACTGTTGAAGTCACTGAGTCAGCCTAATAAAGACTGTGTACAGGAGAATTACCCCTATACCTGAGCCTCAACCTTCTGGGGGAAAGGGAACTAGATAACATACTTTTTACTTATCTGTACAGTACCATGTTGCAGAATGGTGATATGGTAATAGAATAGCACAGCCAGACTTGCTTCCTGCACAGTAGGGAGAAACACAAGAGATGGGAAAATGCTGTTCCACACGGAATCTCCAGAGTTTTGCATCAATCAGGTCTGGAAGGTCTGATCTCCCTTGGTCTTCCATGGGATGCTTATTGTGGAGGGGAGATATAGATTGTCCGGCCCTTTTGTGATTCCATGGATTGACTGAGTCTTCTGAATTTTTTTTTCCTTTTTATTTTGGGTTTTGGAGCTTTTAAAAATATTTGGTTTCAGGTATTTTTATCATGTGAAGTGTTTTTGATTCTCTTGAAATAAGGTTTTAAGCTAAAATGTTGCTCCCTGTTTTAGTTTCTAAACTCTGACAGATTAAGGAGGACTTTGCTGGTGTAGTCTTTTTATAGGTTTTATAAACCACTTGAGCCTATATCAGTCATTTTAGTGTCTGACCTGGTATTTGGAGCTATCTGTGCTTTTTTGGTTTAGATGATGACTCAGAATTTTTCCTGGTCTTATTTCCTATTTCCTTCTCTCCTCCACCTCCCTCCCTTTCAAAATTCTCCTGTAACTAAGCTAACAAAACCATGTCTGATTCAAAACATCCCAGAGTGTTTCTCTTAAACACATCATCTGGTGCCAAATGAAAATTCCTAGGAGTAATTTACTAATCATGAAGGGCACAGTTGTGGTACTGCCATTGTTGAGTATAATTTTTTTTTTTTGCTTAATTTTGACCTATTTCACCAGTGTTTTATCCTTGACTGCCTCTTCTATGCTGCTTCCACAAATGATAGTGTGTGATAAGATTTTTGCCTTCCTTTCTAAAGTTTGTTTTTTTTAAAGTGAGTCCTGTTCTTCCTATTTCTTTCAGCAGAAATGAAATCCCAGGTAAGTATAAGTATTCAAATATTCGATCAGTAAGTTACAGTTATCTTCACTACATTATGTAACGTTCATTGAAAAATGTGTTATAGGTAAAATTACTGAAGGACCATATATGTATAAAGCTATTTTTCAGACTTTGTTAGGGTATTATATAATAACTGTCTTCTGGACTCGGTTTTGAAGTCTGGATTCGGCCTCATTTGTAGCAAACTGCACTGTTACTTGGTATGGAGTACAAATTAGGCTTCTTAGCAGCTGGAGTTCTTGATATCAAAAATCATAGGAATAAAACTATCAAATTTCACAAAGGGTCAGAGGCTTGAGGCTTAAGCCAACATATGAAAATATGTTTGTCTTGCTGTACTGCACTTATGATATCAAGTCACAGATAATTTTTTGTCTGCTAGTAGTGTTCTAGATAATAATGTCTTTTCCAAAGCTCTGAGGCAGTGCACCTATTCTGTAGTTGCAGCTGTTGCCTGAATGTATCCTGGCTGACAAATTATTGAATAATAAGAACTTGAATTTCTGAAAGATTATTACTGCTAACCAAAATCTGAGTCAGGAGTCTTAATTGTAATTCTGCTTCAGAATTACATATTAACGAACTGTGTGTACCTTTCAACAACGTAAATCAAGAAACGTCAATTAAGGGATTTCTCAGTTTATTTTTTATCTGATTGAGATATCAATTAAGATTGCTAGCAAGATTGCTCATAAACTGATGTGAAGTTCACTGAGCTGCTCATTGTGAAATAGGATACTATTCTTCCAATGCCCTCAAGGCTGTAGCCTTACAGCTGTTTTACATAGCACATCATTCCTCCTATAGGGATGAACTTCCTGGCACGAAAAGTAGCCGCTCTGGTTAAAGCTTCGCTTATTGTAACAGGCTTTTATTCCCAGGTAATATGTTTTTGGAAGACTTAATTCTGAATAGAGATATAGACATTACTGGAAACTAATTTTTTTCTATTATACTCTGCTTTATCAAAAAAAAGTAAAACATTGAAATTGTGCTACGGGAATTCAGATGTTGTCTTGCAATCTTTAAATAATAAATGAATGATTTCCCCTTAATATGGCTGATGTATTTTCTGTCCTATTATTGTGACTGTTGGGCAGAATAATGGGGGCATTCCATGATGAAACCTACATTTGAACAGGTACAAACATGGTATAGATTTTCCTATTATAGTTGCAATACTAAGAATTTTTTTGTTTATTCATCAAGTTTGATGGAGGGGTGGGACTGGTATATGATTGTTTAAGAAGACAAAAAAGCCTTTGACCCCTAACAAAACCATTAGTGTTGGTTGTTTGCTTATGACCACTGGCTTCATTTACTCTTGAGGCCTCCTTCTTTCTTTGTGTGGGCTTTTTTGGGGGAGGGGCATTTTGGAGCAAAGTTATTTTTCTTGCTGATTTGTGAAGTGGTTAGACTCAGCCACAGGGGAGAGGAGGATTTCAGTGTTTTAGGAGTCTTGGACACATTTGGCTGCCAGTTTTCTCAGAGATAAGAGGGGAAATTTTATTATTTCAGGTATTTTACTTTCCAACTTGTCTTCACTGGTTTCCTGAAAGAGCATTGGGAGAGAGGTGTCTAGCTCATCATAAGTTTTTACTCTCACCTTATTTCCCATCTACTTCAGCTTCTTCCTTTAGTCTATAAACTTAAACTGTTTTGTTTTTGTTTTTTGAAACAGGGTCTCACTATATAGTTGAGATTGACCTGGAACTCACTATGTAGCCCAGGCTGGCCCCAAATTCACAGTGATCCTCCTGCCTCAGCCTCCCAAGTGCTGGGATTACAGGCACCATGCCTGGCTATTATAAACTTATACTGTATAACCTCTGAACTAACCGCCTTTTAAAAACATTTTTTAAAATTATCTTTTGGGGTGGGTACCGGAGATTGAACTCTGGATCTTGTGTTTATGAGGCAGGTGGTGAAACCACTGAGCTAAATCCCCAGCCCTGTAAAAAAAATTTGAGATATTGGGAATTGAACCCTGGGCCTTCTTAGTGAGTTACATTCCCAGCCCTTTTATTATTTTTTATTTTGAGACAGGCTCTTGCTGAGTCATTAAGTTGCCCAGTGTGGGCTTGAAGTTGGGATCCTTCTGTCTCAGTCTCCCAGAGTGCTGGGATTGTAGGCATGTACCACCACGCTAGGCCTAAAGTGCTTTAAGATTCTATTCTAATTCTAACCTGCTCTTCTTTGAAGCTTGTGTCTTAATATCTAACATTTAGGTTCTTTGCCCAAACCATAAGGCATACAGTTACATAATCCCCTTTTTATGAAGGAGGTTTAATACAGGAGACTTCATTTGCAAGTCGGTTATTACAGTATTAATGAGCATCTTTTATCCCGTACCCCATCAACTCATGCATTTATATATATAAAGTTTGGTACATAAGGAGTTTTGAAGTTAGCACTGTTGGAGTTTGAATCTCAGGTCTCATAGGATTTCTTTTTTCTTTTTTTCTTTTTTCTTTTTTTTTGAGACAGGGTCTCACTATGTTGTTGAAACTGACCTGGAACTCACTATGTAGCCCAGGCTGGTCTTGAACTCACAGTGATCCTCCTGCCTCAGCCTCACGAGTGCTGGGATTACAGACATGCGCCACCACGCCCGGCCTCATAGGATTTCTTAAAGTGAGCACTAACCTAGCCCCTTCTTTTTTTACTTGGATGCATAGGTGTTGCTATGTTGCCCAGACCTCAGCTTTCAGAATGGCTGGGGTGACAGGGACATGCCATCATACTTGGTTTGTTGCTTTCTTTTCTCTTTTTCTTTTTCTTTCTTTCCTCCTTGTGGTACCAGGATCAAACTCAGGACCTGGTGCTAAGATTAATAAATTTAGGACCAGAGATGGAACTCAGTGGTGCCATGTCTGTCTGGCAAGCGCCAGGTCCTGAGTTCAATTCTCAGTACCAAAAGAAAAAAAAAAACTCCAGGGATTTAGCTCAGTGGTGCTGTGCCTGCCTGGCAAGAGCAAGGTCCTGAGTTTGATCCCCGGTACCGGGGATGGGGGTGGGGTGGGGTGGGAGTTAACTCACATAAAACAGTTGGAACAGTGCCTATCACAAAAAATCCTTTCAAGAGTTCGATCCCAAGTACAAAAAAAAAATAGTATCAAACTGGGATGATTTATTTGTATTGTGTTGGCCAAATAGTTAAATTATGAAACGTATGGGTGTCTGATGGAAAGAAGGGCACAGTCTTAAAAAAAGCATTGACTCCTTCCATTTGTTTTTCTTGGTGTGTTTGGAGTGAGCGCCAACACAGATAATCAAGTTTTTATCTCTAGGAATCGCGTTCTAGAAGCAAACGTCTAATTTCAGTGATGCTAGTCCACGTTGGGTTGCTGCCTCGCTCTTAGGTAGGGTGGCCCTCCCCACTAGCCCCACGTAGTTCCTAGGGCTGACTAGCGAATAGGAGTTTGGGCAATTCAAGCAAGGAACAACTCTCATGTATCCCATTTGCCACACGAAACTTCATTGGAGGACTCGGCTTCATTTTTCCTTATCACCCAAAAATGTAATTTAGAGAGAGACCTTTACCCAACAGAAGTGGGGGTAGTTCCCGAGCTCTATCAAAGTGGCGTGTGTGACATCTCGTGGAAGTGATCGATCTCACTCCGGAAGCAGTGTAACGGCATGAAATTTTAGTTCATACACGTTCATAGGGTAAAATTCCTATTTGCTTTGTGACCTCTTTAGGGATAGGTGGGTTCAGGGAGGGTGGGGCCACGTTAGTTCCTACCCCTTCCCCCGTGGGTCGGGCTTTATAAAAGGTCGTGACCCTGGCGCCCCAGCGCAGTTGCTGAACTTTCAGCGTCCGTTGCGAGTGTGCGGCAGCGCGCCGCACCCAGAGCCCCGGCAGCAGGTGAGTGACCGGTGGGCTGAGATGGGTATTAGTTGAGTAGGTTTAATTAAAAAGGACCACGCGTAACCTCGGAATGATTGTCCCGTAAACCTTTGGACAGAGGAAAGACCCGCTTGTGAGGTGCGGTGAAAGCAGGGGTAAGCGTAGGCGTGGGGGAGGAGTGGGAGTGGTCGAGGCCTGAACCCCAGCGGACTGGCTAGCAAGTTCCGGTGGAACTAGAGTGAGCAAAGGGTTTGCCGGCGTGCGGGGATGCTGATGTCAGGTGGAAGGCGGACTAGTGGAGCGAGGGAAGCCAGCGTTGGGGGGGGGTTAAACAGGTGCTTGGAACACTGGAAGGTGGGCCGTTGGGCGAGCGGTGGGGGAAGGGCGGTGTATTCGAGGCCTGATTGGTGGAGGCCTGAGCAAGGCGGGAGTGGGGGGAAGGGTAGAAGAATCGAGATTTGATTGGTGGAAGCGTCCGTTAGGAGAGTCTAGGTCGCCCTTGTGGGAGCCAGCGGGCGGCCTCTGGGCTCATATTTTGCCGGCACTCTTCGCTTCTCACCCCACTGCCGGAATAAGCACAGGTGGAAGCGTCGGGGTACTAGGCCGGCAGTTGACTGGCCTGGAAGGACTGGATTAGAGTGTGGAGTCAGGACGTGTAGTGGCGGCAGGGGGGGGGGGCGGTGAAGGAGTCAACGGTCTCTGCCTGCCATAAGGGGAAAATTTGGGGGGGGCAGGTCAGTGGGGATGTGGGGATTGGAATGGCTTTGGGAGTGAGGGGACTGAGCAAGAGGTTGGGAAATGCTATAGCTTTACTGGGAGGAAAAATTTTTTTATCTAGTGGAAGCTAACGAATGTCTGCTGCCTCCCTAAGCGGGTAGCATTATATTTGTGTGTGTGTGTTTTAGTATGGGGGATCGAACTCAGGACCTTGTGCTTGCAAGGCAGGCAGCGGCATCCCTGGCCCAACATTTGAAATGACTTAACTTTAGGGGCCACTTTGCTTTGAACTTTTCTGATTAATCTGCAAAGAGCCCTGGTGAGGCAGATAGGGGTAGGAAATAGGCTTTTGTTTCTCTAGGGGTGGTTTTTGTTAGGTTGGGGTTTTTTGGTTTTTTTTTTAATGGTATGGGGAATCGAACTCCGACCCTTGCTCTTGCGAGGCAGTGTAGGGGTATTTTTTTGAGGAGAGGTTTTATTTGTTAGGAACTTCTGGGCTCAAGCGATTCTCTTTTCCCTGGGAAAGCCTGCAATAAAACACATTTTTTTTTTTTTTGTACCAGGGATCAAACTCTTGGGATCACTTGCTAGGCATGTGGCGGCACCACTGAGCTAAATCCCCGGCCCTGCAATAAAACACATTTAAAATGCCTCTCATGCCACAGGTTGTGGTTCATTCCTGTAATTGTAGTACCCTGGGAGGCTGAGGCAGGAGGATCAGAAATTCGAGCCCATCCTGGGCAATTTAACAAGACCTCTCTGAAAATTAAATAAAGGGTGAGAATGTAGCTCTGTGAAGATGTTGACTCAGTTGGCTCAATCGCCGGTTCTGCGGGGGCGGGGGGGGGCTCTCATTCCAGAGTAAAGCTTCAGCTTTAAATTAGGACAAAGAAACTGCCCAAAGATAAATGCAGAATGTAGAAATGTCTCATTATAGTTCTGATTTTCTTAAGTATATCTTTGTCTTGACTACAGAAATGGACAAGTCCGAAGAACAGCTTGACCATTCTGGCCCATCCTTCATTCAGGATAAGGACGGGTAAGAATTGAAAAGTTCTATTTTCTCTTAGTGAAACAACTTTCTCAAAAAATATATGTTTATTTCGTTTAGAATCCACAGAGTATATATGATGGTTAAAACATTTTTTTTTGGCTTTAAAGAAAGCTTTTTTTTTTACTACATACATCTTAACAATGTACTGTAAATGGAGCAGGATCTAAAAAGCCTTTCAAATACAAACCAGCTAAAGATGACTAAACTACTAGCATGTTTGGAAACAGAACTCTAAAACTTTTTTTTTAAACATTTATATAATTTGTTCTTAACCCTAAAACAAAGTTCACATTTCAAGTTATAAGCTTACCACAGTAGTGTACAATGAAATGGTTTTGAAATAACAGAAACAGAGTCTTCTCTGTAGTACTCAACTGGTCGTCACCAACATTTGTTTTTAAGGTAGATTGGTAGTCACCAGATTAAGATGCCATTTTTTTGCTGTTTTTTTTCAATCTTAAAATGAAAATTGTAAAGAGGGATTGATTTGAGAATCTAGTGTCCAGCTTCCTCTACAATGCACTAGTCTTCTGTGTAATGTTTCTGTTAGTGGCCTGGTAGTTACAACTCCATGAGGCAATGCAATGCATTATCAAATATGTATGATTTCTAGAAAGTTATTTGTTGTGATAAAATTCAAACCTAGTCTTACAAAGATTTTACCCCATTGTTTTTTGTTTTGTTTTTTGGTACTGGGGATTTAACTCAGGACCTTGTGCTTGTGAGGCAGGCAGTGGCACCACTAAACTAAATCCTTGGCCCTCTACCTCATTGTTGATAGTACTGCCCTCTTGAGAGGGAGTATTTGTTTGTTTGTTTGATTTTTTTTCCCTTTAGATACTAGAGGTTAAATTCAGGGATGCTCTACCACTGAGTTATACCTCTAGCTCTTTTTATTTTTTATTGTGAGACAGGGTCTCACTAAATTGCCAAGGCTGGGCTTGTACTTTCAATTTTTCTGTCTCAGCCTCCTGGGTAGCTGGGATTACAGGTGTATACCATTGAGCCAAGCTACAGGACTTATTTGAAAATAGCTTTCTGTCTCTTCTAAGGTGTCTCTCTTCTAGAGCACTGCTGTTTTCCTCTCTCACAAACAAGCATGTAAGTGTGTAATATGGAGGAAAGTACAAACAATAGAACAGAGAAGTCTGCATAAGAACCTAATAATAGGGCCGGGGATTTAGCTCAGTGGTTCTGCCACCTGCCTTGCAAGCGCAAGGTCCCAAGTTCGATCCCCGATACCAAAAAAACCCACAAAAAACAAAAAAACACTAAAAACATATGAAATTTATTCATGATAAAAATATTTAAGATCAGTGGGGAAAATATGGATTAATCAATTGAAAATTTAAAGATAATAGGCCAACCACTTGAAAAAAAGAGTTGGCTTTTTTTATTGAGTTTATTGGTACTTTTAAAGTATACGGTATGTATAACATATATAATATTTAAAAACAAAAAAAAATGAAGCCACTAAAAATGCCACAAAAAACATGAATCTTATTTTCGGTAACTTTGGAATGGGAAAGTTTTCTGAGTTTAATATCAAACAAAAGGGGTAAAGATGGCGAATACGGGCCTGTTGGATTTAGCTCAGTGGTGCTGCCGCCTGCCTCAGAAGTGCAAGGTCCTGAGTTCGATCCCTACTACCAAAAAAAAAGATGGCAAAAAAATAACTGGAAAAGTATTTGCTTTATGCATGCCAAAGGGTATTTTGTTTGTTTGTTTGTTTGTTTGTTATTTGGTACTGGGGATCAACCTCAAGACCTTGCACTTGCAAGGCAGGCGGTGGCACCACTGAGCTAAATTCCCGGCCCAGAAAAAGGGTATTTTAATTTATAAAGAACTTTACAAATAACTTTATTTTAAATTTTTTATTGGTACATATTTGCCATATATAGTGCTCACATTCATCGTAGAGAATTTGTACCTGTACAATTTTTTCCCATCCCTCTCCCCTCCCTTCAACCCTTCTTCCCCTTCCCATTTACAGAAGTTTTGTTTCTATTTTTTTTTCCTTCCTTTCTTTTCTGAGACAGGGTCTCACTGTGTAGTTCAGGCTGGCCTTGATCTCACAGCAATACTGCCTCAGCTTCCTGAGTGCTGGGATTACAGGCGTGCACCACCACACTCAGCTTTTAATTCCCCCTCCCCGTTTCCCTTCCCATTTGAATATTTTTTTCTACTTCCTAATATCTATCCTCCATTTTGCTCCTTTTTTGCCCTTAGAGTTTCTCATACAGGAGAAACAATGCAATAACTTGTGTATATTATGTATTTTGCTTAAAATTGTGGTCCCAAGCTGCATCCATTTACCTACAAGTGACTAAAGTTTATCCTTCTTTGTGGCAGAATAGTACTCCATTATATATAAATACATTTTCTTTGTCGTTTCATCTGTCGATGGGTATTTGGACTGCTTGTAAGATTTAGCTATTATAAATTGTGGTGCTATAAACTTGGGTATGCATATCACTATGGTATGATGCTTTTAATTCTTTTGGTAAGATAACCAAGAAGGGGAATAGCTGGTTTAAATGGAACCTATGATTTTACTTTTTTTTGTTCTTTTTTTTTTTTTTCAGCTTTAATTGAGTTTATTGGTACATTTTAGGGATACAGTACAGTTACATTCATTGTTGGGAATTTGTACCTCTACATGACAGGTCTTGGTTCTCATTTTTTCCCCTTGTCCCTGCCCTCCCTTCACCCCCTCTCCCCCTCCCCATCTACAAACACTTTATTTCCATCTTTTCATTATCTCACATTTTTTTTGTTTTCCCTTATTACCCTTCCCCTACCCATCCCACCTTCCCTACACCTTTAGCTCCTTTCTTCCCATTTCTAAATGTCAGTAATCTTATTAGGATCTTCTGTATTATTGCAGATTATTCACACCAGAGTGTTCTGTTTTTGAGACATGGTCTCATGTAGTTTAGGCTGGCCTTGAACTCACCATGTAGCCCAGATAAATGATGCCCCATGTTGGCAGGTTTGTAGGAGAGGCAGCATTTATTTGTAATAGCTAAACTTTCAAAAGAGCTTAGATATCCTAAGGGTCTAGTTGAATAAATAATGGTTCATCCAAAAAAATGTGACGAGAGCTCTGTGTACTCCTAACAGTAACACAGACCAACATACTAATTTAAGAGCTTTATAGAAGGATAAGATATGTTGTTTATCTCTGGGAAGTGTGACTAATGGAGAAACAGACAAAATTTCTTCTTCATACCTCTTTTAAAAACTGTCTGGTAAGGGCCATGGATTTAGCTCAGTGGCATTGCGCCTGCCTGGCAAAAGCAAGGTTCTGAGTTCGAACCCCAGTACCCCCCCAAAAAAAATCTGGTAAATACCATTCATGATAGTTGTGAAAATAGTGGAAATTAGCAAGAAAATACAACAAGCAAACCTTGAAAAATATACATTTTAACAATTAATAAAAAGAAATGGTTGTAATCCCAGCACTTGGGAGGCTGGGGCAGGAGGATTGCTGTGAGTTCGAGACCAGCCTGGGCTACACAGTGAGTTCCAGGTCAGCCTCAACTACATAGTGAGACCCTGGCTCAACAAAAAAAAAAAAAAAAAAAAAAAAAAAAAAAAAAAAAAAAAAAAAAAAAAGAAAGAAAGAAAGAAAGAAAGAAATGGTTGACGTTAGTGGTTCTGAGAGGTAGTCTCTCTGATTTATTAGTCAGTCCCTTGTGAATTGATTAACAGGAGTTGTAACTCTAGCATCTGAGGAAGAGTTGATAAACCTCAGTTTCTGAAGCTTCAAGTACAAAGATCAGATCCCAGACTGTGGTTGGAGGTGGTTCTTGAGGTTGAACAATAACCTGCCAGTTGCTACGCCCACCCAAGCTGCAAGTCAGATTATGACTTCTTCTGATCTGGACATGTGTTTTCATTAATGTGGAAAAGACTCAGTAATTTTTAACTTTGGACTTACTCTGTACTTCAAACCTTCATCTAGGTGGTTGTAAATGTATAATTAAAAGTTTTGCATGGGGGCAATAATTAGTATGACCTAAAAAGCAAATATCCTTCCAGATTTGACATTTTATAAGGGAGATTAGAAGCTAATAAATAAAAAATGATATTTTTGATTTTTGAGACAGTGTCTCACTATGTAGTTGAGACTGACCTGGAACTCACTATATAGCCCAGGCTGGTCTCGAACTCACAGCAATCCTCCTGCCTCAGCCTCCGAAGTGCTGGGATTACAGGCGTGCGCCACCATGCCCAGCCATAAAAAAGGATTTTTGGAATCATTTTTTGAGATTCATTCATATATTCATTCAACAAGTTATTTATTGAATCCTTTTTTTGTTTTGTTTTGTTTTATTTTGTTTGTACTGGGGATCAAAATTGCAAGGCAGGCGGCGGAACCAATGAGCTAAATCCCTGGCCCTGATTTGGATTTTTTTTTTCTTCATTGAGTTTATTGGTACATCTTAGGTATACAGTACGGTTACATTCATTATTGGGATCTTGTACCTCTACATGAAAGTCTTGGTTCTCATTTTTTCCCCTTGTCCCTGCCCTCCCTTCACCCCCTCCTCCACTCCCATGATTTGGATTTTTTTGAGATGGCTCACTATGTAATTCAGGTTGGCCTTGAACTCACTATGTAGTCCAGGCTGGCCTTGAACTTGTAGTGATCCTTCTGCTCAGCCTCCCAAGTGCTGGAATTACAGGTGTGCGCCAGCATGCCTGGCCATGAATCCTGACTATTGAAATAAATAACAATTCAAATTCCTTACGTAGTTTACCTAATCTGAGGTGAGAGAAGAAACATGTAAGCTAGCAATTACAGGAATATGATAAATGTTGTGATAGACAAGAAGTGATGATCCCATAGACATACATACTTTTCACAATAGCCCTATGGAGAAAATGATTCTTTCATAATTGAGGCCCAAGAACTGGATATTATAGATGTCTAAGTGGGAAATAATGTTAAATTATGATAGGTTGTTAATAATGGGGAG